ATGAATACCTACTCATATGAATGTTTACGTGACCACCCTGTAATAATGCTCAATATAGAGTGTGTACGTGTACTACACAATACGTCTTATGTACCTACCTATAGGCTATTGCTACTTAACCCCAACCATGGCAGCCATCCAGACCAGAACCAACAGATTTTAGGTACTTATTATAACTTATTCATTAATAATTGCATTACATAGGTAGGTGGTAGGTACCTACATTTCATATTTTTAGTATTTTATTGTGAATGTTTGCAGTGCCCACCTAATTCCTAACCTTATATACTTATACTAAATGTCTAAATATTACCAATACCTAATTACCTATTTCGATATTATTCCATACTTGTTTTTTTTTATTTTATTTTAACACTTAATGCATATATATTTTACCCATAACACATTGTCAGTTAAATTGTTATGCATGCATTATTAAATACATCCTATAGGCTATAGGCAACGTAAAACGTTCTCTAGAACGTAGATCACATTCTTGCGAAATACTGAAGTTATATACCAGTAGGATTTGCTAAACAATTACTAAAATATGGAACGAGTCAACTTTATCATAATTAACTTATGTCTTATGATTGAGATTCAGATAACGAATATTTATTTAACTTATTAATTGTTTAAAATATATTGTATTTGTATACATCAATATACGGACGGATTTGGTGTAAAGATGTGAAGAGAGCCTTGCCATTGCATTCGAATGTACCTACCTATGGCAATGCCACACATATATTTATCTTATACATTTTAAAACATATTTTATTAAAATAGTAAATCCATCACCTGTACTTATTGTTAAATAAATATTTACAAACTGTGTTATAATATACAGGGTGTTCCACATTTCATGTGACAGCAGATTTCAGCATGATATATTGAAATTAGGAAAAAATGACCGGTGCGAAAACGGTTTTGAATCATATAATAAAAATTAATTTGATATCAATTATTTTTTTTATTAATTAAAAAGTGGAGATTAAGGGGTAACTTTTAAAATTTAAATGGGAACCTATATTTTTGAAATATGATTCATATATGATTTATTTTTTAAAGAATTTTGTGGTATCGTTTAAAATTATGTGTCAATAATTAAAAAACCTATAACATTTAAATGTTGTATTTAATTTTTAATAAATTTCAATAAATAATGATTATCATAATATTATACGTTTGGGCTTCTGTTGTACACTTATACACAGATGTAATGTTATACAGCCATAATAATCTGTACTTTATCTAACTATCAGTTTACTAAAGTAATAAAACGTGTATTTGGTATCTTAATAGCATTTTATATTATTATGGGAGACAAATACCTTGATTGTATTTTTAGTAAAAATAAAAACAATGCATTAGATAATATACCTACTAATAAAATATATATTGTACTATTTATAATCAGTGTTATTATTGGAACGGTTTTTATCTTCTAAATAGTTTTGCATAATTTTATTTTATTTGATAATATTTATTATTTATAATAAAAAAATATAAACAAATATCATACAATAGATAAATAGGCAATAGCTTATTACACCAAATTGTTGAATAAATATTATATTAATAACTTGTATTTTTTGACTGTTATGGGTACCTAAAAATATAATTAAACGCAGATAATAACATAATTATATTTAAACGCATAATAACTAAGGCTCGGATTTATATGCATTTATATAACACATGGGCGTAGGTAAGGGGGGGGGGTGTTCAAACACCCCCCGAAATTAAATAAAACAATCTTGAGCTTTTTGTGAATTTGTTCGAGGTATTATTAACTCGCATATTATTTAGGATTTAGACAAAAAACCCCTCCAAAAATATTTCCTACCTACGCCCATGATATAACATAAAAAAGTATGTATTACAGAACTATTTACATAAATCACTCTGAACTCTGAAGAAAACTCATAAAAACGGTAAAATTGTCTAAATATGTGAAAACAAATTGTTAAACAAATAATTTATTAAAAAATGTGTAAAAACCAGTGTTAAGCCGCTCCTGCAAATAGTTCGGTTTGCGGAAACGATTTGCGGGGTGTTTAGGACTCACGTGTTACCTCGCAGTCGCAGTGTAATAACGTACGGGTATATAAGACGCATGCGCCTACAAGGTATAATAAATTAATAAGTAATAATACACAACACAACAACTATACAGATATAGGTAGCTCCAAAATAATAATACTAATTCCAAACACTAGATATACTAAGGTAATACAAACCACATAACGTTATGACACACGGTACAGGTGCGCTTGAGTGATCACCATAGGTGTAACTATGATTTAGTAGTAACGGGGGCTAGAGTCCTAGAAAATGTATGTTCAAAATAAATTTGGGGGCCCCACATCTCCACCACAGTAAGCGTAACTGCCCTCGAAAATCAAAATTAAAAATAAACAATAAAATGAAAATACAAACTCATCATTAAAAACAAAATGTAAATAATAAAATAAGTACATTATATATTATAGGTAGCTAAATACACACATCGAGGGGCTACGTCCCCTACCCCTAGTACCCCCTAGTTACGCCATGACTATACCTAATATTATTGTTGTGCGATAATTTCTCGTAGCACATTTTCGGCGGCGACTTGTGCACAATAATTGAACAGTACGCAATTTGCGGCGTGGCAAGAGTGCAAGACTATAGTATATTATCATGGTGGGATAATTCTTGTACATTTTCGGCGGCGACCTGGGATTTTCTGTTTACAACGCGAAGAGTTCGATATTTACTTATAATAATAGCTAAAAAAATTCCGACCGACGGCGATGACAAAAAAAATATAGTGCTTTTAATAGGTATCCAGCGAGCTAAGTAAAAAATATATAACAGCCGCACGACACTACGACAGTGTATAATATTATCTCGAAGCAGAAGCTGCCTACTTAAACAATGTAAATGTTGGTACTTTTTTTAACCAGACCCAACTAATTAACTGCAGACTACAGTATCAGTTAATACCTAATAAACTTGAAAAACCAGACAAATTGCTTAAAATCCTTTAGCAAAAATCATCAAAATTGTGGGGTTATAAATTAAGTTATTAAAGAAAACGTGCGAACTTTTTAATGGAAATTATAATGAAATCTGGAATCATCGTGCCGACCGGTTCCTCCACTCTATTTCGTGTACGCAGCACAAAATTATTGCTATCTCACATTCGCATATTTACTATTTATTATTTGTTTCAAGTTGTTATCAATTGACGATTATCGCTTATGAAGTTGAATTATATTTTATACATTTAAAATTACAATATATTAATTAGGCTCTATTGTATACTAAACAGTATTTCGAAATTAAAAATATGCAAACCAAAGTTTATCAACAAAGAATGAAAAATAAAAAAAAGTACTTACAGAATAAAAAAAATAAGCGTAATGATAAAATAAATTCCCTCAAAAAACTGTAAATAAATAAATGCTAAGTACATTGAATTGAAGTACTTATTTAGAGAAGAAATGTCTATTAAAATATTTTAAATTATAATGAACTTCCAATGCCATTTGTTGAATTTATTTACGTTATTTCGTGAGCCACTTCTTATGCCTACAGCATATAATTTCTCGCCTAGTAAATTAATTACCGAAACAAAATAAGTGTTCTTTAATTCAATTTACTCAGTATTTATTTGTATCACATATTTAAAGCGCTTAAAAATCTGTTTTTTTTTTCTACTTCCTTACAAGTAGTTCGACGAAGTGTTTTTGTCCTGATAGATTCTATACAAAATAACTTATGTGTGAAGGAGTAGTAATGATGCAACCGCCTTTTCATAAAAAATAATGGGAATACAAATTCATTTTTATTTTAATGGTGTTAAATTTATTACAAAAGATTTTGATACAGATATTCTATAACAGTACAAATGAGCCCTGATCACTAGACAAAATTGGTGTTTCAAACAATAACTTTAAATTATTGTATTTAATTACTTCCAGAAAAAAATATCCATTTACTAACTTTTTCATTATGTACAATTTTATTAGTATCTAAGATAAAGTTATTTTTAATATAACTTCAAATAATAACAATTTTTCAAGAATTATTTGCTCATAATGTAGATCTCTGTAGTATAGTAGCTCAAACTTAATTTCTCAGTATAGGATATTTTGGGGTAGTATTGACTTAGATGTTTTGAAATTCAACAACTCTACTCTATACATCTTGTAGTAAGCACCTGTGTGAAATTTTAAATAATTTTCATATTTAAATGTACCTTACATAACTGACATATCAAGAGGACTATGTTGAAGTACAATCAGCCAAACGATTTAATTAATCAATATATACATTATATTGGTATGTAATACATTCAATATCATACAATGTAGAATATTGGGAAACAAACCACATAAGTAAATTTCATGTCACACAGATTAGTCAAATCTCATAGTTAGGAAAGACTGATGTATCTAGCACCAGTCAACAGAAATGATATTACATCAGTAGCATGCATCATCTATTTCATACTTTTTTTATAACAGGGCTGCTACTAATATAATATAGTCAATTCTAACTAAGAGAGACAACTTTTTAACCTCTTTCACAGCTCCAGACATACCATTAAGTTTCTGTATTTTATACTAATATCATTTGCCAGCAACCATACAATTTTCGCAATGTTTTTAACTTAAATATTTAGATCTTATAGATCTCAAAATTTATATCAAAAAATTAAAAAAATTAACATTAGGTAGCGTACACAGGTTGCAGAACATAAATAGTGTAGCAGTAAAAAGGTTAAATCTTCTGTGATCGATCGTTCAGCCATCCTTGCAGTCATTAATAATAATAAATTAATTAAATACAAGAGGGATTACTTAATAACCTTTTATTTATATAAAAACTTTTCTCGCAAATGTTAAAAAAAAAATGTAACTCTTTCTATTATTATAAAAATTAACATAAAAATAACAGGTCTTTGCTAATACAGTATTTTAACAATTTAACAAACGACATAAAAAAAAAATGCTTTCTTCGCATATATTTAAAAAAAAATTTCAATATAATTAAAATCAAGATTTGAAAATAAAATTGGACAAATAAAATCATAGATCAATAGGCATCAGTAATTGGACACATTTTATGTATTCAAAATACTATATCATTTTTTATGAAACTACTTAAAATAGCATAAATGGAAGTGTAACACCAAGGCATATCTGCAAAATAAAATTACTAATTAGATATTAATTAAATGTTTAATTTTTAACAGTGCTATGGATAGTTGGTCAATAATTCATTTTATTTCTGAATGTTAAAAGACATAATTGTTTTTACCTATATTATCCTTATAAAATTGTGATCTTCTTCCAACATATTTTGGTACTTTATGAAGATAAATGTGTTGACTTGTTAATTGTTTGATGTTTTTGTTGAGTATGGTGATGTTGGTCCAAATTAACCTGCTTCTTTGTTGGACATCATCTGTCTCCATACCTATGATTATTGGTTGAGTGTTAAGAAACCTAGTTAAGAAATAAACAAATGATTTACTTCAAATTAAAATTACAACAAAACAAATTCAAAAACTTATGACCTTTATAATTCAACTATTGAGTTATTGCATTCTAGGCATACTCAATAGTGGTTTTGGGCAACCAATAAAGGTGATTGTTACCTCACCCTTGAAACTAATATTCTGTATGTTAATTATTCATTAAAATTATTTTTGGCAATAGTAATAACTTATTAGTAAATATATTATATTATATTATGTTAATATTATATTAATATATTATATAAGTTTTAAAAAATACTTGTACAGGATCTATCAAGAAAAAACAATTTCTTTCATTTGTTTTATAAGTTTAGTCAGAAGTTACTAATCTGAAGGTGTAATAGACATAAAATATAATGATTCATAAAAATGTTCTTCAGGTCTCAAGTATGTTATCTACACAACAACATGTAATAGTTGAAAATATAATATTATATGGTTACATAGTTACTAAATTTTACCTTGAAATTGTTTTCTGTTCTACAATTTTGATTGCAGCACTTGTTTCAAAAGCCCAAAAAATAGGCTTACCATCTTTTTGCATTGCTTCCATTTTGTTTTTTATTTGCAAAAATGAGAAAAATTTTTTTATGCAATCGTTCAGATCTGTATATAAAATTAATTAAAATTAATAAACCCAAAAAAACAATAAAAAAAAAAAAATTATAGCCATTGAACAAGTTAATCACCATTAATAAATCAACTTATCTTTTAATTCACTTACCAAAAAATTTCTCTTCGTTATAATTCTCCTTGTTTGGATAATATTGAATGACTAACTTGGCAATATTCTCATTGTTGTCTTCGATGTTATCATTTAAGTAAGTAGTTTCCAGAATTTTAAATGGAAATCCTAGGTTTTGTAAAGCCTTTGGTACTATAAAACAAACAAATTATATTAACATTATCAATCAGTTAAAAACTCGGGCTTACAAACATATTTTTCAATAAGGGTGTCTCAGAGCTGGTTTAACCAATTTTCTGCAATTCTAAACAATTTGAAAACACATTTTACATTTTTAGTTGGTAAGTTAGATATTACAAAGAGGGCAGATTTCTATGCACTTGTGTATTTATTCTGAATAATCATATGATATTCTAAGTGAGCACATAATTTGTCTCACGCTCATATTTTGCATTTTTCAACATTAACTCATTTTTTTTATATTACTATTATAATTACATATTTCGGTGTTTTTTTTTTTTTGATATTATTAAAATTACTATTGTACAAAGAAAAAAATCTATATTTTTATAATTTCGATTAATATCAATATAAATTAATAGATATACTCATAGCTATAAACAGTTCTCCCAGGGAATTAATTTTTTCCTCAATGATTAAAACTACCAACAAAACAAATATTTCAAAAAAATATTTAACAATATCCAGCAATTTTTTAAACAATTATTTGAAATTGATGAAGGTGTTTGAAAAATCAAATAAAACTTTGGTGGGCTAAGTTGAACCAAATTGTATATGTGTGAGTATGTGAGAAAGAAATAACAGTCATCTAAATATTATTTACCATTGTTTTGAATATCTTTTAAATTCATAACATGTAACTCTTGAATTTGTTCCCTGGCATAGTTTTTTTCAGCGTTAGCTGGATACAAGTTAAAAATCTGTAATAGTGTGTGTGATGTTTATGATTTTTAACAAAACAAAAACAAAATTTAATGATTACATTTCGTAGTTGTTCATTTGTACTCCTTGGAACTAGTTTATTGGTCCTTAAAGTGGTACTATTACATGCAAAACAAGTCCATGTAATGACATTAAGAATTTTTTCTAAAGTTTTCTGTCCACAATAAAATTCTAAGCATTCGTTACAATAAGCTCTAAATAACATAAAATGAATATAAATAGTAGATTAAAACACTGCAGAATTAAATTTTTTTACCTTATACAAAAACTACACAATACCAATGTGTCTTTTTGAGTAAGACAAACACAACAGCCATCCTGTTAAAATATATTAAAATAATTATATATATTATATATTATAAAATTTAATTTGATAAAAATAATCAAAATAGTCTCAAAAAAATATTTAATGATATTTAATCAACAAAAATGAACCATTTATGATCTATACTTGCATTTGATTTGTCCTTTGCTATTGATAAAATAATATCTTTCCCGTTTGTCTAAAAAAATTTAAAAAATGTTTGAATACCTATGTTAAATTAACAAAGTAATAAAGTAAAAAAATTAAAATGTAAATAATAATATATATTTGGAAGTCACATAAATAATATATGTAGGTAACTCGGAGATCCACGATTATTAGTAATTTTAGAAATATATTTGCTAATAATATTCTAAATAAACCATCTGAATATCGTACTAATAAGTAATAGAAATTACATCAATAGCATATTGCAAAACAAACCTTTTCACTCTTTAGTTTTTGATAAAATTAATTTGCACAAAATATTATCTTTAAATGCATTACTTGCTATGGTATATTTAGTTGTGGGTAAAACTATTATATTATCTTTAAAAAAAACACTAACAAAAAACGAATATGTATAATGTTTGAACATTGAATAATACATGGTACTAAATATTAAATATACATTGATTATACACAGAAATATAATACCATAAGAATTTCTACTTACAAAACAATTATTACACAGAAAACCTTTAAATATGGGGTGTTGAATCTTTAGTTTATCTGCAGGTATTCGGCATGCCATGCAATATCGGTATTCCATTTTTGCTATGAACAATTAAATTATAATAGGTAATTCAAATTAGTCAAAACAATGAAATAACGTACATTCAAGATATTATAAAAATATAATTAAAATGAGTTTTTTTTTGGTGTCTAAATCATAAATAACTTTGGCTCAGAAATAATGTAGGTAGTTCAAATGTTTTAACAATAGACATACACATTTATTACATGCCTATGTGTTATGTGTGCATATATAAAAATTAAGGTTTATTTCTTTTTTAGTTACCTAAGCCAGGGATTCTCAAACTATGATACGCTTGCCCCTTGGAGGTACTCGAAAATGTTTTAAGGGGTAAGAGTCTTATCATAAAATGTTGATGTATTAAAATCAATATTTGTATGAATAGCTTTTGAGTTATTTAACTTTATTTAAGATAAGGTCCATGATAACACGTTTTTAAGATATGGGAGTTATGAAGATTTTAACATTTTAGTTATTAATAGTTTAAATAAATATTTCAAGTACCTATTATAAATACTAGATCCAATATTACATTTATTTTACATTTTTGGAAAAACCATTTTTAAAGATTATTATCCTTAGTGCAAACATTTTAATATCTGAGAAATAAACAGTTCAAATTTTAAAATTGTTTCATCACAATTATCAACTTAATAATTTACAGTAAAGGGGGGGGGAGAGGGGTTCATGTGAAAAGGTTAAGTTTGTATTGTCACAGGGCACTTCTTATGTATAGCAAAAAAATTCAACATTTTTTAAATTATTCCTCAGCAACACCAGATAATGTAGCTCGAGTTATAAAATAATATTACAATAATAAACATATGAAACAGTTAATGAATAATGAAAATGCTGTTTTGTTTATCAAAGAATAAATAATAGTAGTAAGCATAAGCAGCACCTACAACAGTTCCAAAATATCACCAGTGAATAATAATAACTCTTATATTTCAGTAATTTAAAAAAATCAATAAGTTTAAAAATTAGAATCATCACTTACAAATTTGAGATCCATCAATTTTTCTTTTTACTCCACGTGGTTTTTTAACACTTTTTCTTTTCTTTTCCTCAATACTTCTTCTAATGTTGTTATTTAACATTATGATTTTTTGTAAGAATTCATCTGGAATAATATACTCTTCTTTTCGTCTACGTTTTCCTGTTAGAAAGTTACATGTTGTATTGTTATTAAACCACTATTTTGTATATCATTTAATTTAAAAGTAAGTTCCAACTTTCAGTGTATTTTTATAACATTTTTAAAATGTATTAAAAAATGTATTAATATTCAGAAATGTTTGAAAATAATTCTTAAGAGGGACACACATGTTGACTGTCTTAAATTGTAGGTATGGCATACCAAATATCCAATCATTATAACAATCCAATCTACTCAACTAGTCGTACAATTATAGTGAATTAGTCCTATGACTTTTCTTAACCTAATGTAAAATATAAAGGTATGAATATTATCTAGATCATCTTTAAAGCTTTTAATTAAATTTTAATTTCTAAAGCAAGTTATGATCATATAAAAATTTACAAAAAAGTTAGTCTTACAATACTTGACCAAATAACTTGCTTTAAAATAATTTATTAATAATCTTTCCTTCAAACGCTATACTACACTAATTCATTCTAATTTTAAAAATAACTGAGGAAAATGGATTGTGAATGTAAAACTTGCTGTTCTACAGTCAGAGACAGCACATGTGTGTGTGTGTAGTGTCCTCTTAATTTAATTTTGGTTTAGTATATATTTGTTAATACCACAACTGAAGAAGTATAACTTGTAAAATCATTGATTTGTAATCAAATAGATAACTATACTCTGCTCAAAATAAGATGATGACCAGATGGCGACCAGTTTTTGTACCGCAGCAGTTAGATTCCGTCCCTACTATGGCAGTATGTAGGTCGCTGCCATGGAACATAAACAAAGCCACGCCCATCAGCACAACTCGGCCACCTGGTCTTCATCTTATTTTAAACAGAGTATAGATCCAAGGTGTTAATGGTTAAGTAATAACTGCTTCTTTTTTTTTTAGTGCAATTTTTTGTATTTTAATTATTGGCCTAAGTTAAGTTGGACAAAAAAAGATATTAACAACATAGTATGTAAAACACAAATGAAATTTATCATTGTAAATATTTTAAAATTGGTACATTTTAAGAATTCCCACATTGCAAATAATTGAGGCAGCAATTATTAACTTTATCACATAAAATAATATATATACAATTGTATTTACTTTAAGATTTATAACATACTACATTTTTTACTCAAAATTAGTTTCTGATGCTAACAAAAGAATTAAATATGAACTATGATCACTGTAATTGTAAGATAATTTAACAGTAAAAGTAAAAATAAAAGTATCAGTTTAATCATTTTATAACCACAATATTATTAAAGTACAATAAAATAATTAATAATCATAATTAATATAACATGTTAGTTAAACCTACCGTTCACAAGAATAGGCAAATTCACAAATGCCCAATCAATCTTTTTATGTTGAGGGGCCACAAAGTTGTACTGAGCGGATAATATCTATAAATTATATTAATACAAATTATAATAGTTTTAAATAAAATATAATAAATATAGTGTAATAAAAAAAAGTAATTACACAAATTGCTTGTTCAACACTTTTCTTACGCGATACGCTTAAACTGGCCAGACCATATTTAATATGAGTTGTGAATTCAAATATTAAATCATTGTTCAACTAAAATTGTATAAGGTTAGGTATATAGTTTTAAATTTAGAGAAACCATTTATTTAGTGAAATATTGTTGAATGATTTCGTTTGGTGGTCTTTTAAATATCTCAAGTCTTATGAATTCCACTACTCTGTAAATATATAAGTTATCATTACCTGTGACATACTATTAGCACTCAACCACCAAACGCATGTTTTTCCAGGCTGATCTTCAAAATATGCCAAATTCATTTTCTTCACAGAAAGAATCATCGCTAGATATTAATAAAAGCATACCAAAATGTAAAATAATTTTGAATAGGTACTTACATAAGAATTGGAAAACATAATACCTACATTTGACCAAGTGCTCAACATTACTCACATATTACACAACTATGCAAGATAAAAAACTCGTCAGTTTTGTTGGTGGTGTTTTATCAATATAAAATTTATTAGACTAATATATTTTAAAATAGATAGATTCACTCTTATATTAAAATAAATATTATAAAATGCTTAATAAAAATTTGGTAGGGTATGCATCTTTAAGATAGAGACAAAAAATACAGGTGACAAGGATATCATCCCTTTAAAATAATATTAGCATTAGTTTTAGGTTTCTATAGTTCTATACTATCCATCAATCTTAGTATATGTAACACATGAAATATCATTTGTATTCAAGACATATTTATTAAATATTTCATATCCATATTACAATGTCATTTTGAAGAGGGCAATAGTATTAACAGGATATTTTAGATTACAAATTATATTAAGTTATTTAGAGTGAACATATCTTTGAAGAACCCATGGTAAAAACAGTTTGTGAAAGTTCTTTCACCTTCTCTGCACGCAAAACGAGTGATTTTGTTTAATTCCCTAAAATCCATGAATATCTCCTCTATCTTTCCTACAATCTCAACACCAATTCTGAAAAATTCGCTAATATAGTTATCAATTTTATCTAAGAAGCTGGTTTTATAATATAATTTTATGATTGCTGTTTTAAAATGTTTTGTATTTTTCTAGTTTCATATTTTAGTGTAAATTAGTTATGTAATACATATAATTGTTGAGCTGTTTAAGTATAACTAAAAGCTATAAAAAAAGACTTCCAATGTGCAGAACCTTTTTTTTAAAAAAGGAGTTTATGAAAAATATAATACTCTAACAAAAATGGTTAACAACAATTCATAACCTAACCTCACCTCTCCTCTCTCTTTTTCAAAAACGCTAAGCACGCCACTGCTAAGCTGGCACCAAATAAAAATTGCCCATATGTGATCAAAATCCATACAAGACACTGCATGGCGTAGGTAATTAGCGAATGAACGTTTTCCCCAATATGTCAAACCGGTATTATTGATAGGTACTATTTGGACATAGTTTGGGTATTAAAAATAATAATATAATACCAGTGGCGTATATAGGGGGAGGCCCCCTAGGCCAGAGCCCATAGTGAAATTGCAGGATCAATTAAAGCATTAAATGTATATTTACACTGTTAACAGTTTTTCACCATGATTAAGTTAGCCGGTTGATTAAAATCATTTTTGAGTAATCTACAAGGAAATGTTAGATATATTGACGGGACTTGCTTTAATGACTTATTGACTTTGATGTTAAATTCATAGTAAGATAACATTAAAATATACAAACGACACTGTCAATATTTTTAAAAAAAGAAACAAAAAATTAATTTTACATAATAATTATAAAATTGAATTGCGCAATTTTTATTTGAACTGTATAATACGTCATAATTCATAATTATATAACAGCTGCTCCCTTAAAAATGTATAATTATGGCTATGATGCTTGAATAGTGATAATTGATAAATCGGCCCATAGTGAAAATAATTCGTATATACGCCACTGTATAATACCTATATGTGCGTAATACGCGTTGATTTAAAACAATTATTACCATATATTATTATGAACGTTAGAAAAATAATAAAATAACATACCAGCCCACATACTGGACTTTTTGTGTATTTTGGCCCAAACGATCTGGCCTTGCTGTTTTTCTGCGTCGATTATCATTTTCCTGTCTAGTCCAACCTGCAAAATAAAGGTAAGGGCCAATTTACAAAATATAATTATGTACTAGACAATTTATTGTTTTTGAAAAATTTTGTCAATTGCTTTACGGCTCTTGCACGACCTACTAATTACGATTCGGACGAATGTTTTATTAATAACTAATAATTTTAATTAAATGTTTAAAACACTAAGTACCTACCTATTAGACGAAAGTGTTATGAACTGAAAACAGCACGAGACTAAGAAGACGGGCAGGCGGCAGCCAAAAAGGACGAGAAACCACCAAAACAGTGACGCGTAGCGTCCGGCGACCTCTAGACTATAGTGTCGACAGACAGAATGAACACTGAAGCGTGAATCCGTGAACCGACAGTGGCTGTGGCATGAGCCACCAGGGAGACCAGGAGAGAACATTGGTAAGTTATATCTATATGTAGTGAGAGATATGTGAATCGGTCATCAGCGCTCTTGCGGACGACTGAAGACTCAGAAAATCAAAATTAACTATTACAATAATATAGAAATGTCCATTATAAATATAGGTATCGGGAGTTGTTGCATTTGCATGTTTTTGTCGACAATTAGTTTACTTCTTAAGTGCTAAGTAAGCTTAAACTTATTTACATGGCACTAAGAAAAAAATTTTTTAAGTTTAAAGTACATATTTATTCATATTTAGTGATTTTATAATTAAAAAAGTATTTTTCTCAAATTTACCATTTTTAGACTATATTTGATGATAAATGATATATTTAAAATAAAAATTGAAAATGTGACAAATAAAAAATAAATAAATAAACTTTATAGTGTTTATTTATTTTGAGAGTTTTTACTAGGTATCATTGTATCATATTTTCTAATCTCCAACTGAAATACAATGTCCCGTTTTTATTAATAAATGTTTGGTACAACTAAATTATAAAATTTTTTTTTTTTTAATGAGAAATATGCAATCTATACTATTAAGCTATTAAGCACAATAAGTATATGTGAGATTAGGGTAACAAAACATTATGGAGTAACGTGAATAAGAAGCCACCCATCAGTAGCACTTAGCTTGTTTATTATGTAATTACTTATAACTTGTTAGAATTAAGTTAGATGATTCCTCCATCATTTCCTTTTCAGCCTGCGACGGGGATTTCCAGGAAGTGACGGAATATGTAATCCTTTTATTAGAGGATTTTGCATGGTTTACTAATTTACTATAAAATCGTTGATAGAAAATAGCAGCATATAAATTATAAAATATAAAAATATTTTTTGGTATAATAATACTACAATACTGCTAAAAGCCACGAGGACGGATAAGGACCTTTTCACATGTGACGCGTGGACGCGTATCATACGGGACGTATCGAGCGTTTTTAGTTTACATAGATTAAGTTCATAAGCGCCATACACGCGAAGGAAACGAAGAAACGCGCCACCGTCGGAGTGAATTTAACCAATGTAAACTAAAAACGCGCGCGGTAAAAACGTCACGTATGATACGCGTTCATGCGAAACGGAGTATTTAGAACACACGTTTGCACAGTAAGAATATCGATAACGACGACCGAGGGATTTTCCATCAAACCTCTTGTGGCGTGGCTCAGTTGTTCCCTGTGTAAATCCCATCCAAATTAAATATTTTCGATGCTAATAATAATAATATATTATTATTATTATTTAATACGAAATGTTATGCACGACGTACCAGTTACGCTTGAATTATTTTATTCGAAACGTATACGTCGTTTATTTATGTAAGAAATGGAATTATATTAACATTTAAAATGTATTACTTAAAATTATTTTTGTTGGCTCAAAAGTTTTTATTGTAAAGTATGGTCTCTCATGAATAGTTTATACTGCAACTAAGAAATCTAAAATGTATACATAAACACTGTTTTTTTCATAGATATTTGAAGTTTAAATTTAAACGAAAAATAATTATTTTAGTTATTTTGTTGTAATTTAAAATATTATTCGTGGGCACTTGAAACTTTTAAAGTATATTATTATATTGTATACAAATGCAATTTTTTTGGCAAAAACTAATTCTACCTAATGTACCTATTACTAATGTGTAATAGTAAAATAAATCACTCTAATAACAATAATATTATAAAATAATATACTTTGTAGTATTATACACTGACTAACAATTTTCATTCAGAATCGTTTTTCGTATACTCGTACAATGATTTTGTATAATTTTTATATCATCAAATTTAACCTATCCGTTACAGCGACCCATCTAGATACACACAGTACAGCAGAGGGGTTCTCGCTTTTTTTATAGTACAAATCGATTGTTGATCATTATTTTTTTCACGACCACTCATAATATACCCGGGATTGTACTAGGCAATAGTAAAATAATTGATATTTTTATTTACCTATTTATATAAAAAATTGTTACAAAATCTGTAAGAGCTTACTCCAGCAGTAATCCTATATTCCTATGGGGATCTTGAGTTTGAAAGTTTGAAAATCGTGATCAGTATTCAGTGTTTGTAAGTTGCAATACGACAAAATACTGGTATAGTGACATAGCTTAACGCTGTGTTCAACGTGACTTGGGCGACGCAGCGAAAAACAAAACGGCTTGTATTTCGTCACTCGCTCTCGCGACGAACAGCATGGTCGGAATAGAAATCGCTCGCGTTCGCCGCGTTCACTGCGTTTCTCGTTGGATACAGCGTAACAGCATTGTTTTAGCAATTACACGGTAACACACTAGTACGCAACACACTAAAACGCCATGTCCTATGTGAACGCGGCGAACGCAAGCGAATTCTATTCTGACCATGCTGTTCGTCGCTCGAGCGAGCGACAAAATACCAGCTATTTTGTTTTTCACTGAGTCGCTCGCGTCACGCAGGACATAGAGCTCAGGACATGACGCTCAGCTCGGACATAACACTCCACCAGTAGCGGTTCGTGAATGAATATTTTGGAGAGACTTTAATTCGTTTCTATAGAGCCATCATTTTTTCATACAATGAATTATTAAATGTAAATTAAATGTAATAAATTGTGACCGCGAACAGTGACTATCGATAGAGTATTATATTTTCGGGAACCCAGTTACAATAGCGCCTATAAAGCAGTGTTCTGCTTTAATCCGATGAGTGCGCGTGCGACGAAAAACAAAACAGTTTGTAGGTACATCGGACCCGTGGCAAGCGGCGGAACAGCATGTCCAGAAAAGAATTCGCACGCGCTTACAGCATTCACGTATTACACGACGTAATTCTCCCCGGCCCCCTCCGTCCACCCGGCTATAATATTACAATATGTTACGATTGTATCTGAATCGACGACCGTCGTTCAAATTACTAAAATAATATTTCCATCCAAACAACTAGGTAGGTATTTATAGATTTTAGATTTTATAGCCTTCGATAATAATTATAAAGGAAAAAATAGACGATATAATATATTTTAAATTCAGATATAAATACTTCTATACATTTTTATTTTGAATTTATTATTATTTATAAGACGTAACTGGTTTATTTTTCTAAGCGGAGACGCAATCTCAAATTCCCAGCACTACACTTTTCATAGGAAAATTGCATATTTCGTCACGCTAATCTCTACTTTTTACTAAATCAGATTGAGAATTTAATGAAATACTCAATAATTTATAGTTATAGGTATTATTTTTATTATTATTATTATTTAAGTCTGTTGACTGTAGTAAGACAAATTATTGTATTATATTATTGTACTTAGGTAGTTAAGTTTTCTCTTATCTCTTACATGTTATATTGTAAATACTAAATTATTGATATTCAATATTCATTAACTGTAAATAATTAATAACTATTTGTTCAAGAAATAAAACATCGGAATTATTATTCAAAATATAATTTTAAAATTCTAAATTCTAGTAAACGAAAAAACCTATATTATAATTTTGTACAGAACTCAAAAATAGATCTCGAAGAATACTTTTACACTTTTACTGCTCTAACAAAATTAAAATGGAAAAACGAATTTTTAATTATTCTGTAGTTTTAATAGTTTTATAAATAATTGGTTCCTATTTTGTAAAGTATTTAAAGACATTAATATATTATTATGTTTAATGGAATGGATTGTGGTTTTTCTTCGGCGTCGTCATTTTATAAATATTAAATACTAATGTTTGTTTAAAATCCATGGACTATAAATAGTTATAGCATAAAGCCATAAAATATTATTTAAAGTACCTACCTAATGAAATATTTATTTTCTAAATTAATTAAAATAATTTACCACTCTCCATATTAATAATATGAAAACTATTTAGTATATTATTATATTATTTGTATTATTATACCTTCAACCTATTATATTATAATAATATATAAATGTTTTAAATATTAAATACGCATGTCAGTTTGAATTTCGTTGGTATTTGCTTTGTATAATAAATATGTCACAAACAATTCGAAGGATGACGATAATTTATTGAACACTATACCTCGATACCCTTATTGCTATTTTTACCCGAAATATGACATGCTACTATCTTTGCTGTGTAGTGTGTACTCACAATATTGTCAACTATTATTTATTACACGACAGTATTACACAGATATCGATTAGTATGTTCATGTAATCGTGTCGCCTGCTCAAGAACTATGAACAAAGTTATTTGTTATTACTTTTTATTATTACTGTTTACTTTACCGATAAAAAGATAAATGTGTATGTATTTTTTTTACGGATTATTTAGTCTCAGTTCTGGTGCATTCGTGACTCACTCAGCGAGGTACTCACCAACAATATTATTCATTATTCACTAATTTACATTAATATTGTAATATATTAATTTAAATGTAATATACTATCATAATGTCAACTCGTAAGAGGAGTTGTGCTAAATGCTAATATAGTAACTGTTTTAATGAAGAATAAACAACTCATGATGCAAATGAAGCAAGTACCTACTGCAAGTTCTATATCGTGTATCGACTGCAATTAGACGGATTATAACAGAAAATGCTATGAATGATATTGCCGATATTGGTTGATGTTTTTATCAAAAACCAGTGATGAATTAAAGTAGGTAAAAATTACTTACTATAATGTCAAGGCGACTGATGAAAATGTTAAATTGTCCATACTGGGAGTAAGGGAAATAAAAAGGGGTAAGTAGAAGTCGCTCCGCTCTTCATTAGGTGTCTAGGAGGTCACTGTAATGGATGGTATTACATTTGAATTCAATGATATCATATCATAGTATACAAAAAATGATTCTGAACGGAGACGGTATGTCAGTTTAGAATATTTTATATTGTCATTATTTATTATTAATATGGTAGCCGGTAAGTTGAATTAATATTATTCTTCAATTAGTGTTGCTGGAAAAATATCAAATATACCTATGTAAAATTGGGCTATTTTGGATCCGAATCACAACA